GACGAACCAAAGGGAACCTCGGCAAGATAAACCAGTTCCTCCCATTTCCCGTGGATCGACGAACACCTTCTGCCAGAGCAGAAGGCTGGTAGGGCCACGAGCATGGGACGACGATGCAGGGAACCCGCGATAGGGTAAACCAGTTCCTCCTTGCGATCGGTGGATGCCGAACGTCTTCTTCGAGGGAAGAACATTAGTAGGATCACGACAGGGACGAACGAAGAAACGGGAGCCCTGACAGGGTATACCAGTTCCTCCCCCTTGATGGACGGATGACGAACGTCTTCTGCGATGCCAGAAGACTAGTAACTCACGACTGGGGACGAACAGAGATAGGGAATCCCGACGTGGATAAACCTGTTTCTTCTCATAGTTGGGATGACAAACGTCTCCTGCGAAACCAGGAGACCAGTAACTCACGAGACTTGGGAAGAACGAAGACCAGCTCCATGGATCAGACACGAAGGACCAGTTCTTTACCGGAGTCTGTTGCGTGCCGAGTGTACACCGCTTAGCGGTCCATACATAGGACCACGGATACGGTAGACGAACGAAGACCAGCTCCATGGATCAGACAGGAGGGATCAGTTCTTTACTGGAGTCTGTTGCGTGCCGAGTGTACACCGCTTAGCGGTCCGTACATAGGACCACGGATACGGTAGACGAATGAAGACTAGCTCCCCAGATCAGACAGGAGGGACCAATTCTTTATCGGAGTCTGTGCGTGCCGAGTGTACACCGCTTAGCGGTCCGTACATAGGACCACGGATACGGTAGACGAACGAAGACCAGCTCCCCAGATCAGACACGAAGGACCAGTTCTCCACCGGAGTCTGTTGCGTACCGAGTGTACACCGCTCCCCAGATCAGGTAGGAGGGACATCGCCTAGATTTATTTCAGGCTCACCATTCCTTCCCGGATGGAGTCCTGGCAGACGATCGGCTTCTCACAGCCAATCAGGAGAGAGACTTGACACATCACCAGCACGGCCGAGGGTCGTGAGACGATTACCACTCACCGATAGGCCGAGGGCCATGAGATGATCATCACTATTTTTCTGTATCACGATCGGCCCCTCAGCGCCATCGTGCCCAGATTCACGGTTCAGCTCACCCTTTCCCTTCCAGGATGGTGAACACCGTCTTATGCAGTACGATCGGCCCCTCAGCGCCATCGTACCCAGCTCACGTTCAGCTCACCCATCCCGTCCAGGGTGGCGACGAACGTCCTATGCATCACGATCGGCCCCTCAGCGCCATCGTGTCCAGATTCACGGTTCGGCCCGCCCATTGCCTCCAGGATGGCGACGACCGTCTTATGCAGTACGATCGGCCCCTCAGCGCCATCGTACCCAGCTCACGTTCAGCTCGCCCATCCCTTCCAGGGTGGCGACGAACGTCTTATGCATCACGATCGGCCCCTCAGTGCCATCGTGTCCAGATTCACGGTTCGGCTCGCCCATTCCCTTCCAGGATGGCGACGACCGTCTTATGCAGTACGATCGGCCCCTCAACCCCATCGTACCAGCTCACGTTCAGCTCGCCCATCCCTTCCAGGGTGGCGACGAATGTCTTATGCATCACGATCGGCCCCTCAGCGCCATCGTGTCCAGATTCACGATTCGACTCGCCCATTCCCTCCAGGATGGCGAAGACCGTCTTATGCAGTACGATCAGCCCCTCAGCGCCATCGTACCCAGATCACGTTCGGCTCACCCATTCCCTTCCTGGATGGCGACGACCGTCTTATGCAGTAAGATCGGCCCCTCAGCGCCATCGTACCCAGCTCACGTTCAGCTCGCCCATCCCTTCCTGGGTGGCGACGAACGTCTTATGCATCACGATCGGCCCCTCAGTGCCATCGTGTCCAGATTCACGGTTCGGCCCGCCCATTCCCTCCAGGATGGCGACGACCGTCTTATGCAGTACGATCGGCCCCTCAGCGCCATCGCACCCAGCTCACATTCAGCTCGTCCATCCCTTCCAGGATGGAGACGACCGTCTTATGCAGTACGATCGGCCCCTTAGCGCCATCGTACCCAGCTCACGTTCCGCTCGTCCATCCCTTCCAGGGTGGTGGCGAACGTCTTATGCATCACGATCGGCCCCTCAGCGCCATCGTGTCCAGACTCACGGTTCGGCTCGCCCATTCCCTTCCAGGATGGCGACGACCGTCTTATGCAGTATGATCGGCCCCTCAGCGCCATCGTACCCAGCTCACGTTCCGCTCGTCCATCCCTTCCAGGGTGGCGGCGAACGTCTTATGCATCACAATCGGCCCCTCAGCACCATCGTGTCCAGGCTCACGGTTCGGCTCGCCCATTCCCTTCCAGGATGGCGACGAACGTCTTTATGCAGCACGATCGGCCTCTCAACGCCATCGTGTCAGGCTCACGGTTCGGCTCGCCCATTCCCTTCCAGGATGGCGACGAACGTCTTCATGCAGCACGATCGGCCTCTCAGCGCCATCGTGTCTGGCTCATGTTCGGCTCGCCCATCCATTCCAGGATGGCGACGACCATCTTATGCAGCACGTCTGCCTCTCGGCGCTGACATGCCCGGTTTATCGATGAGAGCCACCGCTTTCTATCACATCTCACATTCCTTCTCTCATACATTGCACCCATACATTACATGCATTCATGCATTCATGCATCATACCTCATACATTCATACATACACACGTGCATCATGTTTTGACAGTACCGCGACGTCGGTTTATAGATGCATGGACCTCTAAGCTTCTCTGATTGGAAAGCTCGAGTCAGAGTCCTTTACTCCCGCCTGATGCATTCAGGGGGAGTGTGCCCGTGGAGGAGCACCCTTCGCCCGACCCCGTCGGGAAGGGGGGTGCCTCACCGGCAAATTACGTTCAGGAGTGCAGACACCCACTCATATATTATGATTATTCGGAGACACAATTTCCAGCAAGACAGAGGAAGAGCGCAAGCAAGAGTATATTTTCTCGAGCAGATTCGCGCGCTCACTACTCAAGAAACTGGGGGACTTGTGTTGGGATATATTATCCCGGTCTGTTACTGTTCAGGAGCCCAAGATGTTATCCAGTACGGAGCCCGAGCAGCTAGGGGCATTTCGGCCCATCCGACCCACTTTGACCACCAGGCCCGATATCGGCCCGTTTGGCCCATTAGGGTGGAGAGCCCCTTCTCCCCTTCCCCTATAAATACGGAGCTCAGCCTCCATGTAAAGGATCCCTTTTGATCTCTTTCCTTCTTCCCCAACTCATTTACTCTCTCTAGAATAGCTTGCAAGACTCCATTAATGGGAGCTCAAATTGTACTATGTAATGGTGAGGAGAGACTAATGAGAATGAGAGGGCTTGGACATTAGCCTAAAAAGTCCGTGGTTTTCTCCCTTTCGGGTTTCCACGTAAAAAACTGAGTGTTCATACATATATTTACTATATCGTGTTCGATTAAACTCAACAATGATAAATATTGAAGTCTTTCCTATTTAAAATTTGATATATAATTGAATAATATTTATAGTAAGCCCCTTAGATAATGCGCCCAATAACATTTTTTTCTGGATCCGCCACTGAATGTGGTCATGTTTTTCCTCATTTAAAACACTCTCTTACCATTTTCCCTTCTGATGAGTAAGCCCGTACAGAGAGGTGACGTCACAAATAACCTCAATGAACTTTCAACTTGTTTAACAGATTGAACATCAATGCATTTCAAATCAGATCGAGTGGCACATGTGTTTTTTTAACCAACCATTCTTGGTGTACACGTTTTTGTACCCATCAGTACACGCATGTGTCTGTGAGAGTTTTTTTTTGTCTGTGAAGAGCGGTCCACAGACATAAGTTGACTTGTTTTGTCTGTGGACCGCGCTTCACAGACAAAAAAAACTCTCACAGACACATGCGTGTACTGATGGATACAAAAACGTGTACAAAAGGAATGCTTGTTTTTTAACTCCCTCCCAATTGTACCATCTCTCATCAATATCATAATGATTTGATGCCTATACATAAATGACATAACTCACTTCGTGTCATCAACAATACTCTTACAGTCTTACCCATCCAAGATCATTATAAACATCTTTGAACAGCAATGGAATGACATTGCGCAATACATTTGGTCTTATATACGGTGAGGTACTTTCTAGTTAACATATCACCTCTACTTTAGGATGGAAGAGTAATTTTTGCCAAAAGTTGACCTAAATGAAGTTGACCTATCATGATTTAAAACATTTGTCAATTGAAAATAGAGTTTTTATGTTTTTATTTCATAAATATGAGTAAATATTGTCATGTTTCGGTATATATTGAGCTTTAACACAAGAATCTTTTTCAAGTATAATAATAATTATTCATATCTAAAAAAAAACGTAATACTCTTGTTTTGAAATCGTCAAAATGAATTTTCCCATTTTTGCCTTAGAATAGGATTTTTTTCAAAAATATCACTAAAATCAAATTTATTACACAAATATGATTAATAATTACTACAATATAGCATCATGATAACTTATGTTTAAAAAAATTGAATACAAGTGACTATGATTTCATTATTATTCGAGTCATTAATCATATTTTTGTAATTCATCTTCTTTTTTTAACAAAGAAAGTTTAATTATCATTAATCAAATCATGATGGAGTATATGAAAAATAAAATCAGGCGGATTAAGAAAAAGTAGAATTGTGTTCCCGAGTATATGACAAATGTTCCCGAGTATTTCTTACATCATAGACATCAATAATCAATAATGAGTTACTACCTTCGTCCCCCAAGTTTGAGACAAAGGGATGTAGTGTGTTTTTAAGAAAAAGTAGAATTGTGTGGTAGATATTGATAAAGTGTGAGTAAAGTAAAAATGAATTCTAACCACTCAAATATTACCAAATATGATACGTAGTATGAGACAAATTTACTGGGACGGACGAAAAAGGTAAAACCGGACAAAACGGGGCGGAGGGAGTAATTCTTAAAATTTAAAAAGAATACTTCCGTATTCTTGTCATGGAGAGCAGCGAGTATCATTTCCTAATGAACACACTCTCAGCCCACTATCTGCTTATCTCCTTCACCAAAACCCCAACTTCTCTATAATGGGTTTTGGAATTTAGCCATTGGGATCAATCTACCAAACATGCCGCCCCAACATCTCTTCCTCCTCTTGCTGCTATCAGCCGTTCACCCTGCAACTCTTTCTGGCCTCGGGTTTCATTTCAATCATTCTGGAAATTCGATTGTTTCCGCCATTGTTGAGCTTGAAGAGGATACGAAATCGCTCCTCTCTTTCAAATCGCACCTCCAGGATCCATACCACAGCCTGTCGAATTGGGAGCAGGGTGGCTTCAACTGGACCGGGGTCACCCGGTCCAACCAGAACGGCAGAATCACTGCACTCAATCTCACCGGGTTCAACTTGTCCGGCCAGGTTCACCCCTCTTTATGCAATGTTACATATCTAGAAACCCTAACTTTGTCTCGAAATAGCTTTAGCGGTTCTATTCCAGCTTGCTTCAGCCAGTTTTTGAATCTCAAGGCATTAGATCTTAGCTATAATGCGTTTTCTGGTAAAATTCCTGACGCGCTTGGTAATTCAGTCCAATTAGTTGATCTTGACCTGAGTCATAACATGTTCATCGGTGAAATCCCGTTGTGGATGGGCAGTGTTTCGACGAACCTGGAAAAGCTCAATCTTGGTTTTAATAATTTGACGGGTAAAGTGAGTGATTTTCTTCAACAAATGAAGTATTTGAACCTTGAATCCAATCAGTTTGGTGGCACCTTGCCGTGCTTCTCTTCACAGAAAGAATCACTGTCAGTTCTTAATTTAGCTAAAAATGCTCTAGTTGGAGGTATTCCAACTTGTATCTCTAACCTCAGGGTTTTAACACAGCTTAACTTATCATTCAATGGTCTGAGATATGGAATTTCTCCCAGATTTGCGTTTTCAGAGAGATTAATAATGATGGATTTGAGTTTCAATGAGTTATCCGGAAATCTTCCAAGCAAGATTGTTGAATCACCGGAAAAGTCAAATCTATTGCTTATTGATTTCTCCCATAACAGATTCTCAGGCACTATTCCTGAGTCAGTCACTGAACTGAAGAGTCTTCAAGCATTGTTTCTTTCCAACAATCTTCTCACAGGAGAAATTCCAGAAACGATTGGGAATTTGACTTACCTACAGGTGATTGATCTGTCATATAATTCTCTATCCGGTTCAATTCCGTTGAGCATTGTTGGCTGTTTCCAGTTATTAGCTTTGATCCTAAGCAACAATAATCTTTCCGGCGAAATCCAACCGGAACTTGACGCATTGGACAGTTTGAAGGTTCTTGATATAAGCAACAACAATATTTCTGGAGAAGTTCCATTGACTTTGGCAGGGTGCAAGTCTCTGGAGGTGGTGGATTTCAGTTCCAATAGTCTCTCTGGAGCTCTCAATGATGCAATAACCAAATGGTCTAATTTGAGATATCTTTCCCTTTCTCAGAATCTGTTCAGTGGGGTTCTTCCGAGCTGGTTATTCACCTTTCAAGGGATTAACACACTCGACATTTCAGGAAACAAGCTCTCTGGCTATATTCCTGATGCCAACTCTAACACTACTTTAAGTTTCAACAATATTGCGAGACAAGTTCCTACAAATCCATTAATTTCATTCCGTGGACTGAATATAAAAGTTTCAGTGTTTATCGCTGACAGAACTGAATTGAGCTTCAGATATAACATCTCAACCATGACTGGAATCGATCTGTCTGATAACTTGCTGCATGGTGGAATTCCAGAGAGTCTGTTTGGTTTGCACGGATTGGAGTATTTGAATCTGTCGCGCAATTTTCTTGATGGTCAAATACCTGGGAGTATAGAGAAGATGCAGAGTTTAAAGGCACTGGATTTGTCACATAATTCATTGTCTGGACCAGTTCCTGAAAATATATCCAGCCTTGGGAACTTGACAGTTTTGGATATGTCTTTTAACTGTTTCTCTGGGATCGTTCATTGGAAGCAGGGGTATTGGAGATTTTCAGGGGCATTTTCCGGGAACCCAGACCTCTGTGTGGAGTCGTCTAGTGATGGATGTGTGAGAGGAAACACTGAAGTGAAACACAGAATGAGTTTTGAAGATAGGGATGATGGACCGGTTTCAGTTTGGGCGTTTTGTCTTAGTACTTTTGTTAGTTTTTATGTTTGTGTCATTGCGCTGTTCTGTTCGGGCCTAACAAGAAACTACATTCTGCAGACAAAGGTCTGATTTATGTATTATATGTGTATGTGACTATAGAAGTAGTTTCACGTGTTTCATTGTACAGTACTACAGTAGGCTAACTTTAATCATAAATGATGGAATTACACGAATGTCATTTCTATGCCAAAAGGCTCAAAACAAAGAACAAAAGGGAAAGAGCCTTGTTTCTTCTTTTTTCTTTTTATGTTCTTACTCAGAACAGAGAGTTAACTGGCCTTAAGTCCATTAGTTACACTGTTAGAGTGAGGACCTACTTGTACTAAATGACATTGGTATTCCCGAGTCCCAACTATGATTGCTCCATTTTACACTAATGCATGTTAAGTTTCATCTGGAAAATGGCTCAGTAGATTGCCTGCGCTTTTTTGTTATGAAGCAGCAGTCAATCCATGCAATTCTCCACATGATTTTCAATTCACTACGAGTCATCTGGAAACAGTCTCTTTGTACTTTAATGTAAGGGTAAGACTACGTACATTCATCCAACCCCCCTAGGGATGGACCAGGCCCGACGAGATTTGGATTTTGGGTGGGACTGGGTTTGGGAATTGAAGGCCCGGTATCGGCCCGGGTCTAGGTGTTTAAAAAATGGGTTTTCTTATTTATTCCTACCCCACCCCCAAACCACCACCCAGCCCCACCCGCTTAGCACTTAATCCATTGGAGAGAAAAAAATGGGCCCAGGCCGGTCCACCAAATAACCATCCCATACCCCCCACCCCCGGTTTAGGCCCCAAATCCCGGTCCCGGCACAGTATTGACTGGGTCCGAACCAGCCCAGTCCATGCCTAACCCCCTTACCCTAATGAAGGTGATAACTTTTGCGGCACTGGGGTAATGATGATGATGGATGTCGAGTATCATTTTTTTAATCTCGACACCCATTCTAAAATGTAACACCCATTCAGAGACAATAAAACCAAAAAAAGAATTATGAGGATGACACTATTATAAATTGTGTGAAATAAATTATAAGTTGTGTGATATGGTATGATACAAAAGAACTTGACACCATTATTGTCGATGCTCTAATCGACTAGTCTCCCTCCGGATTCTAGGGAGTCAAGGGGTCAAAGACAACGAAATTCATTACCCATTATTTTCTTTTTGGGAAAACTGTCAAATAAGCCCTCGAAGTATGTCTAAAAAGTCAATTAAGCCCTCCAACTAAAGAAACGTTCAATTGAGTCCTTCAACTATACAAAAATGATCAATTTTCTAATTTAGCCGGCAGAGAGTCGGTTAGCCGGTCACCTTACTGACGTCTGGCATATTTTTATGTTTTTCCGTTTTCATTTTCGTTTCTTTACCCCCTTTCTTTTTCTAAGCTACTTTCTTATTCCGGAAAACCCAACTACCAACTAAATCCCTCTTTATTCTTCTTTTCAGCCTGCCCCTACTATACCCCCCGTTGTTCTCCTTCTTCTTCTTCTTCTTCTTCTTCTTCTTCTTCTTCAGCCCACCCCTCCACCCCCTTCAATCTTTTTCAGCCCGTCTCTCCCCACCCTCCCCCTCTCTTCTTCCTCCTTCTCAGCCCGCCCCTTAGCTCCCCACCCCTCTTGTCTTCCTCTTCTCCAGCCCGCCATATACAGTGGCGATGAACCAGCCCGTGACGGAAGACTGTAGAGGCCGAAAATCAGGGAAGAGGCCGGTAAGGAAATAGCCGGGGAGAGAGATGGCGATGACGGCGCTGCTACATTCGCATTCAGCTCCGGCTCAGCTGCAAGGGATGAGATCACGTCCAGAGCATGAAGAAAATGCGCCGCTTAACCAACATGCGTACAGACATTTGAGAGCTCTTGTTAATTGGTGTAAGAAAATGTTGATTCAATCCAGAAACGCTGAAAGGATCACAAAAAACAGAGAGGAAGACTGGAAGAGGAAGCATACGTACAGGAGGGAGATTGGAGAAGAAATTTGGGGCAGAACTGCGGAAGAAAGGGGAAGAACGTTTGGTGGTGGGAAGAATAGAGGGAGAAGAAGGGTGCGGGGGCCAGAGGAAAAAAGGGGATCGGGTCTCGGTACGGGCCGTGCCACGTGGACGGGTCGGACAAGCGGTCGCCGGTCGGGTCGGCAAAAGCGATTTTCTTGATTTATATAAATATTTATTTATATATATATAAAGTAAAAAGAGAAAAATAAAAAAATGACACTTGGCTGCCACATCAGCTGTGTCACCGGTTGACTGAGAATAACCTGGCTAAATTAGAAAATTGAATGTTTTTATATAGTTCATGGACTAAATTGGGTGTTTCTCTTGTTGGAAGACTTAATTGACTTTTTTGGTATACTTTGAGGGTCAATTTGACAGTTTTCCCTTTCTTTTTTTATCCTATAAATGAAAGAGTTGTATGACCTGTATTGGTTCTTTCTTTTTTATATTAGTCAGAACTATACATTTTTTTTCAAATCAATCACAATCTTTTTTATATCAATTACTCCGTACAACAAAAAACTACGAGATAGATGAAGCCTATATATGAGTGGTACAAAACTACTCATGACCATGCCACCTAGTTGTTTTACATATATTTTTGACATACTAAATCTTCATAATTTTCTTTAATACGTAGTATAAATTTACATATTATAATAGTGAAACATAAACATTAGCGAGTTTGGTAAGTTAAACTGAGAGTATCAAGTTAAGACATTAATAATAAGTTAATGAACAACAATAACTACAAGTACGTGGGTAATATGGGTTTGATGCAGGGTGGACTCCATGATTTTAATCGAGAGTCAAATGATGAGTTCATGAATTAATAAAATTTCAAAATGTTTTTAAATGCTTATTACAATTTAGAGTAAGAGTAATGCTATGTGTACACAGCATTTGTACACAGCATTACACATCATAAAAAGCCCACCCTCTCCCTTTTCTAACTCATTTAACCCCTCCCCTTCCCTTTTCCACGGTATTACCTCTCCCTTCCCTCCTTCATGCTTTTCCTTTTTTCCTCTTCCTCCCTGCGCGTAGCTCTCTTCTCCCTCTTTTCCTCTCTTCTTTTTTTCGTTTCTCTCCCTCCCAGGCCTAACTTTCTTCTCCCTCTTTTCCTCTTTTCATTTTCGTTTCTCTCCCTCCCTACACCCAACTTTCTTCTCCCTCTTTTCCTCTTTGCTTCTCCCTCCTACTTCGTAAATAACTCTCTCTTTATCTCCCTTTCTCCATCTTTTTTCTTGTCTTTTCTTGTTTTCTTCATCTCAAAACCTCTCACTTTTTTTGCAGATCTAAATCCGCACAGAAAAATAGGAGTCACAACTTGAATTATGTATTTTTGTTCGGGCACAACTTTTTTTGCAGATCTAAATCGGGCACAAACAATATTTTTTATTCTCATCTTTAATTATGTATTTTTGTTTGTTTTGAGTTGTCTGTATGTAATTTGTGATGTTTATTTTTGAGATGTAATTAGTATTACGAGACAGACATTAAGTGTAAACATACAGACAATAAGTATACACATACATTACTTTATTGTGAATTACCATTTTGGCATATGTTTTATTAAAAAGACAGACAATATGTTTAACTAGACAGACAATAGACAACCCATAAATTACATACAACTCACAATGAAATGACAAACAACTAAATATGAGTTACAAACAACTTCCCCACTCTTACAGACAACTCACAATAACATGACAGACAAGTCATTACAAACAACTCAAAATATATACAGACAACTTATAAACAAATGACAAACAATTAAATATCAAAACAAATACAGATAACTGATTACAAAAATAAAGTATGTAATTATCATTTGCTTTAAATCTCTCAATCTTGATCTTCTGAATCCATTTCATGCCACGATTAGAAATATCACATGTCTTGCTCCCGATTCAAAAAGAGACATAGTTTTCAATCACACACCTTCAAGATATTAGTATTGGTCACGAAGAGTTATAAGATGTCCCTGAAGCAGTAACATGGTTAAAGCTCCTTTTAGTTAAAATACATTTAATTTAAATGATACATTAACTTGACAATAAACAAGTACTACGTAATATTCAAAGCCCATCAATAAAGAAGTCATATAGAAGACATACACAACCTACTGGTAGTTTACAAGATGCAGTCACATAATTGTCTGTACACAGACAATTTGACCGGCTACACAGGCAAATTGAGTGGCGATATATAAGAAAATCGTTTTTCACACAGACAAAAATAAAAAATTGTCTGTATCACAGATACTTTATAATATAGAAGTCGTATGACCTATTTACACAATGCATTTTTGCAATTAGTTGTCTGTATTTGTTTTGATATTTAATTGTTTATCATTTGTCTATTATTTGTCTGTATTTGTTTTGAGTTGTCTGTAATGATTTCTTTGTCATTTCATTGTGAGGTGTCTGTAAGAGTCGGGAAGTTGTCTATAACTCATATTTAGTTGTTGTCATTTCATTGCGAGTTGTAGGTAATTTGTGGGTTGTCTATTGTCTGTCTAGTTATACGTATTGTCTGTCTTTTTTAATGAAACATATGTCAAAATGGTAATTCACAATAAAGTAATGTATGTATGTGTATACTTATTGTCTGTATGCTTTTTTATGTTCAGGGTCCTAGCTTTTTCATTTTTCCAGTAGTGGATTATTATGATACTTTTCTTTCTATTTTTTGTATGAAGGAAGGAGTAAAGATGAGAATAAAAAATATTGTCTGTGCCCAGACAATAGTTGTGATGAAATTTACCATAACAATGCATATATTTTTGTGCACACACTTTATTTGTTTCTTAAAGTCTATCGTTTGTGAGACTTATCAAAAATTGTCTGTGTCTAAGACAATTTTTTTTGTATTAATTTTAAAAAAAATAAAACAATAGTTTGAACAGTGACACGAATACACTTAGTTGGTTAAAGCTTATCTTTACAAACAATTGGTTAAAGCTTATCTTTAAAAGTACACTTAGAAACAAACTATATTTGACTGTGACCATCAAAAAAGAAATTTTAAATACACTATCATTTTAATACAAGATAATTAACTGTGAAACATAACTAATTACAAAAATGAAGTGTGTAATTATCATTTGCTTTAAATCTCTCATTCTTGACCTTCTGAATCCATTTCATGCCACGGTTTGAAATATCATTTGTCTTGCTCCCGACTAAAAAAGAGACATAGTTTTCAATCACAGTCCTTCAACATACTAGTATTGGTCACGAAGAGGTAGAAGATGTCCCTGAAGCAGTCACATGGTTAAAGCTCCTGTTAGTTAAAATATATTAAATTTAAATGATACATTAACTTGACCATAAACAAGTACTA